CTCTGTTCTCTGCTGATTTATTGACCTTTAAAGCCGTGAGTCAATCCTTGATTCCCCACTGCTTTAGAATACATCGGACAGGGCGGCAGCGTATTAAGATGATTGTTCAGTGATCTGTAGAATGGTCAATAAATTGAGATGAGTGTGTGTGTGTGTGTTCCATCTCCATGACTGAACGGTTAATCCAGTAACAAGCAGACATCTTCAGTGAGGCCAGCAGACATGAAACCAAGGCCATTGGCTCTTTCCCACTGATCACACAACTTAGCTCTCTAGATCAGAAACAAGCCTCTAAATCCCCAGCCTATATAAAAATCTGCTGGGAAAACACAAAGAACACTGTCAAGATCTATCGCTTCTTCAGAAAACCTTTAGAAAGCCATTTCTGTAATAATGAGGATTTGCCCTATACTGAGAGCACAACAATACCAGGTTCAAAACCTTTTATGAGTCATTGGCTGTCTGGACTCTCTGAAGCTTTTAAAATGCTCTTAAAACGACATCTGGTGTTACAGTGAATTCAGTGCACTGGGCTTAACCGTGAGGTGGGTGCACATCGCTGATAAGTCAGCTGCTCCTCAGACCACCTAGCACGCATCAGAGATACAAAGCAGAAATGAATAAGCCATCAGTATTCAACTGACAGCAATATGTAGACATATTCATGTCATCAGCACTGTTTAAAAATATGGCTGCTTTAAAAATAAACAAACAATAGCAGATATTATGTGAACTTTTATTTGTCAAGCTAGATAATACCGCTGACCAGGATTTGTGAAATACAGGTATGGCTAGCATTTAGAAGAACTTGCATAAGGTAAACTATCTGTTGTTGTTGTCGTATTTTTTTTTTGTTCCACCTGAGATGAACTAGCGGACTAGGTTACCTCATTGGCAAGTGAATTTAAAAAGAGGCTATGCATTACTTTTGCCAGGGCTGTTTTCTGAAGATTTGGAGGTTCTAAGGGACAGTTTGCTTGAGGTCCCCCTTCTCACCCCAAAGTTCCTTTGCATGCAAGAAAAGAAAAATAATAAATTAATCCCTGAACTCACTGCAATTTTTCAACCAACAATGTTAAATACACAAAAAACGAACATACTCAGGGCCCCCTGGTGGCTCAGGGGTGGATAACTCTTGCTTATATTGCTTATAGAAATCAACTGCCCTGGCTTTTACAACATATAGGCTACACTTGTGATGTGCATTTAGAAAAATGTGGGTAAAATATTGAGTAATCAATCATTCGCTAGATCAGCTGATGCCAATAGTCGATATTTTTCAAGCACATACCTACCAGTGCCGATACATAAACATTTATAGAATGTAGAAATTGGAACTGGATCCACCTGGATTATCAGTACAGAAAGAAACATGTTGTTGTGGTCCCAAAGAAACATATATCTCCATTTTTCCCATTTTTGGAAAATTTTGATGGTGGCTATCCTTTACATTGTCTGAAAATGTCATGATGAATGAACCAAATTTATTTTTTTGTATATGGTTACAAATTGAAGCCAGTGTTGCTAAACGTTCTGCTCTCCTGAAGTACAATTGAAATGTCAATGTCATCAATATTTCCGATACTGATATTTTCTTTACGCAAAAATATCTGCCAATACCAATATGATTCCGACAGCATTGTGCACCCAGAATCATTATTCAACTGTGTATCTGCCACACAGATTTGAACAGTATCCTTCACTACTGCATGTATGCTGGTGTACCTCTACCACTGCCTGAAATTAGCTTTGGGAAATCTCAGGCTAGGCCCTGGAAACCCTGTTTGTGCTGGTCCACTTGCTGTCTCAGTTCACACACACAGTGCAAACATACAGTGTTCATGGAGTCTTGGAGCACATCAAAGGCCGCAGGCCCAGCCAGTGTCCACAGTCAGCACATCCTTTGTATTGTAAGCAGATCAGTGCAGAGACTTTAGGATCTGTGGCGGGTTTGTCTACTCTCAGTTCCCTTCACACCAGACGCAGCTCTGTTATAGGGGGCTGTGGGTGACTAAACTCAACTAAAAGCTGTGTCATACTTTTATTTTAACTAAAAAATCTGATGCCTGTATACTGCAGTTGTTCAGAGCTTTGGTAGTGCATATCCTCAGAAATTAATGCACCACATCTGCAAGACCAACATAATCAATGGGGGCAGTATATCATGATGGTTGTGACAGAGCAGCTAGTTTCGTCTTAACACAATAAGATAAGGATCCTCAAATTTAGCCATGTTCGTTGTTGAACTTGTTGGGTAAAATCAGAAGACATAGTCATGGAATTTTTCCTGTGTCAGCCAGAGACATTTTGGCACTGACCTGCCCCCTAGTGGATAGTTTTTAATTCTCTAGAGAGAACAAATTGAGAAGATAACAAGCAATGCTGCTTGCAGAGCATCTATGTACACATGTAAAATAAATTATAAAGCAGCCATAAGGTTATAGTCCCAGTACAAAGCTCACTGACCAATTTATAGCCACTGCTGACAGTGGATGATGATGACAGTGCTATCAAACATGTATCTGATCTAGGACCACATATGAAAGTGGCTCAAATCTGATCTGAAAAGATCTGATTTCTGTGTTCACACAGCCCGTAAAAAATCGAATTGAGGCAGAACATTTCAACCCCTTAACATGAGCTAAATTTTGGTAAGGTCTCCTTGGAAATGCTACAAAAGGCCTTGTTATGACAGTTCTGTGTATCAGCTCTCTGAAGCAAACTCAAGCAGCGAGTGCACACTACAAGCATAACACCTCCCTCTCAGCCAACTGCTTGGCTAAAGTCAGCCCGCAATAATGATGAGGTGTGAACTCAAATAAGGCTTGCACACTAAACACTTTCTGCTGCTGAGGAACAGAGAGCACAGGATGTGGATATTTAGAGGTTAGATAATCGCCACGGTCTAGTGCATACAGTTGAGAAGGAAGGGGATGGAGGTTATTGCTCGCTCAATATTCCGCTCCCCTCTCTCAGTGATTTTGGGAATGAAGCCTCTGGCTGCTTTCAATCAGCATATTGACCAGCTGTCAGAGGCTGCACAGGCATTCATCAGAAAAGATGCCTCATCATCACTTCCAGACAATCCAGAAAATGCCTGAAGAACCTTCTATAGAGATAACCCCGGTATGTGTGTGTGTGTGTGTGTGTGTGTGTGTGTGTGTGTGTGTGTGTGTGTGTGTGACCAGACAATCCAATACAACTCCTTGTATTTGTGTGCATTTACGTGTGACCAGACAATCCAATACAACTCCTTGTGTTTGTGTGTGTATGTCTTGTCCACAATGTGTATTGGTTTTCTGTAGAGCAGAGTGTGTGTGTTTCTTGTACACAGACATGTGCTGATACTCAATTATTTGGTATACCACAATATTCAACATACTCAGTACGGTTATCGTGGACTCTTTGAAATACCGCATTTTACTGCATTTTAGCCAAACAGGTTGCAGTTTCATCAGAGCTTCTTTAGGTACACAGACACTTTCACTAGATCCTGCCATGCTGTTACTATAGCAGAGTTTCCATTCAAACCTTTAGCAAATTTGAGGCAAATTTCTGAAATGTTTTTAAAATGCAAACGAGTCACTGTTTCCATCAGCTACTTTTAGGCGCAAATTCCCAAAGATAATGTCACACACTCACAAGAGTCTTGCTCACCAGTAGTGGCCGAGTAGAGGCCCATTTAATGAGGGCTAAAGTTGCTGTCCCACTTCAGCACTGCCTGCCAAACCCCTGAAAACGTCAGTCCATATGTAAATAGCATGTTCAAAATAGTAATGGTACCATTGGTGGTGCACTAATTTGACATACTATTTAATATTTGTGGTTTGAGATGCAGCTGGTGATTTTTATCCTGCACCTTGTTTGTTATCGTCAGATGAAGCAGAAATCCAACTTTGCTTACAGTTATTTGATAAATCTGTTCTATCACCATTTTCTGCATTTCTCATTCATCAATAAATCAGCTTTCCTACCTCATCCAAGAGTAAAACTTTTCTGCAGCATTTTTTCAAATTTTCAAGTTTTTATGCATAATTTCAAAATCTGCACAAAGGTGAGGGAAGGAAAAACCGCTATTGTGATCCCATGGTTTTTATGCTTTTTCCAGCTGTTTTAGTGCATTATTTAGTGCATTATATCACAGATCACAGCAAACCTCGTCAACCTTGCATACTCTATGCATACTCTATTGACAGTCCATTAAGACTGTCAAAAAACCTCTACCAAACAAACAAAAAACAGGATACCAGACATGATTTAATGATATTAAAATGGTTTTCAAAACACTAGCTTTATCTACATGTATACATGTACTGTTTTTAATGCACTATCATGAGAATATTTTAAACTGAGAAAAAATGTTAGGTAATGATCATGATATTTTTTGCATCGGCACATGCCTAGTTGTACCCACATATATATGTGTTTTCTGTAGGGCATTGTGTGTGTGTATGCATGTGTACTTGTGTGCCAGTGTTATTATTTGTGTGAAATCTCTCCAAAAGTACCCTTTTTATATAAACCACAAGATATAAAACAAGAACATTTCTGTAACCCAAACTGAAAAGCTGTCTGAGACACAAAGGTTTTAAATCACGTTGCCACCAGCCTCGCAGACAGCAGAAGATGTGCATTGGCCACCTATTGTTCCTGTCTGTGAACGTCTCCCCATGCAAATATACCGTTAAAGGCGCAGCTGCATGGAAATGTATATGTCAACAATGGAAAAAATGGGTAAAAAACCGATGCGTTGGATGCTTAATTTGCCTGCTCTATGCATCATCAAGACCGATACAGAACGATTTATTGATGACATACTGCGCTCATCTGCTTTTCAGTTGCAAAGGAGAGATGTGAACGCACGAATAGGTGTGCGGGTTTTTTTTTTAAACCAGCATAGTGAGACAGTCCATTAGGTGTTTAAATCCCATGCAGAGCTGTCCGCAAGCAAAGCAGAGCCAAACAAAGCCAGATGACATTATAACATTATCGGAACCTACCTTTCAAAGCGATCTGCACACAAAAGCTCCGGCTGTCATTGCCTTTAATTATGATGTGGCCATTAGGACTAACAGGCTGGTGACCTCGGCTGTTGTGGTCAGTAAAGGATGCTTCACTGGTGATGCTCTGTTCTGGTGATGCCCGTTCGCGCACACGATCACCCTGCGGATCTCGCGCGCTGCTGCGTCCGGCAGACTGAGCTGAGAGCCCTATTGTGTCTTCACTGCTGTGAATGCAGCGTTATAGATTTTTTCCCACCCGTGTTCCGACAAGCCCCGCCCACTGTTCGAGAATTGACTACTGGCATCCGGCCCTCCACGCCAGGGCTGGATAGTAAGCTATGATTGGATGTTAGAATACCTTCTTCGCATGGATTGGTTAGTCGTAGCTCACCTCCTTGGCTATGACTGGCTATTAATTTATATTCACAAGCAGGTTTTACTGATTTGGCCAATAGTAACGCAGGAAGTCAGAGGCTACCAATCCCAGCTGGAGGAGGGCTTTGACGGAATACAGCTGGGGAAAAAACAACGCTCCTGAGGGGCGGCAGACAGACCCCAGCCCACCGTACCGCCTGGCCAATGGCAGCTCAGGCCGAGAGTGCTGCGAAGTCAGCCGACCCTGGTGGGGTTCTGTCTCCGTACAGATTTCTTTAGCACTTGTTCTGCGCATGAAAAGCGAGCAGCTGCACACGGTCACAATAAGGACATTTATATGACCGTCATTTTACTATTACACTGACTTTTTGATAGATACTAATAAGGCTGGTACAAGAATGACATTTTTACAAACATGTATATCCTACACACACCGTTAATGAAGCATTTGTCAACGTACGGGACTCTGAAAGGGACGTTGGTAGTATAAATATAAATATTTAGCTAGTTATAATTTAAAAATGTATATTATGTAAGGAGCCATTAATAATTAGTTATACTGTATTTACTTTGAATTGTATCTTTTCTTTATCAGTATCAATACAGTGAGTGTAAAAATCTCTTTAAAAGTGCAGGTTTTTATGGTGTAAAGCTAGAAATTAGGATACATTATGTTGGACATTTTCCATTGTTGATTGTATAGAAAAATAAATAGCTAACAATGGTAATAATAATAACAACAATAATAATAATAATAATAATAATCATCATTATCATCATCATCATCATCATCATCATCATAACTACAATACCCTGCTTGAATAAGTTATAATGGGGGCTAGTTGTCTTTCACTCACTTTCAAAATGATGTTCAAAGGCAAGCAGCATACACTTGCCATCCATAAAAGTAATGCTGGTTAACCCCAAATAAAATTCAGCTCTTTCTGTAGATGTTCCTGAGGTTTCCATGACTGTATCCTTCTGAAACAGCTATGATCCATGAAAAGCTCACAAAACATCTATAGAATCTTACTGTTAAAAGGTACAGATCAGAAGAAGGATATAAAAGAATACTGGATGTACCATTCAGCACTGTGAAGACTCTCATCAATAGGTGGAAAATGGAACATGGAACCACACGGACATTGTGAAGGTCAGGAAATTCCTCAAAAGTTGATGACAAGACAAGTAGAAAATCTATTAGGGAGGTTGATTAGATGCTAGCAGCAGCATTAAAAAAAAAGCTGGAGAACTTTCTAGCAGGTACAGGCTACTCCTTGCAAGTGACAACAATCCCACATGTACTACATATATCTGGGCTATGAAGTAGAGCAGAAAAATTACAAAAGGTTGTTATAAAAAGATCATCCGAGCCTATCTGAAGTATGCAAAAATACATTAGACAACCTAAAAATCATCTGATGAGACAAAGGTTTTTGACCTGAATTCTAGAAGATATGTTTGGTACAATGACAACACAGCTCATCAGCTAAAGAACACCATACCTACTGTGAAGCATGGTGGTGGGAGCATCATGCTTTGGGGCTGCTTCTCTCTAGTTGAGATAGGTGACTGGCTCTGAATATCAAGGTATTTTGGCACACAACCTGCTAGACTTTCTCAGAAAGCTGAAGATAAAAATGAATTTCACATTTCACGTTTCATGATGACAGAGAAATGCTTAACTTTGCCATGATTTCTGGCTTTACATTACAAAATCCTGTAGTATTATGAGACAAAAAAGTAAAAAGAAATAGAAAGAAAGAAAGATAGTCTGGGCAATGTTTTGTCATTTTACCATGCCTGCTTATTCATCTTTCTGTAAGAATACGACCACACCTTGTCTAACAATGACTATTATGACTATAATGATAGCCTATAATCAGTCACTGTGGGCTTAGTAGTTATGCTAGTTTATTTTTGCAAATACTATTATAATGTTTGAGCATGAGCAGCTTTAAACCCTACTCCCTGGTGGCAGCAGTGTTTTTATGTTCTGTACAGTGTATCTGTACAAGTCTCCAGGTGGGGCTCCTCAGACTGTCCCTCTGGAGCTTTTCACCAGTGCTATAACACTGTTGATTCAACAAGCAGCTAATGATCAAATGCTTTATGAGCCAAATGTGGTGTAACTCCAAACTGTGCAACCCTATGGCTCCCAGTGACTGGGAGCGAGAAATGTAGCTTTAGAGAAGAATCTTCCTGCTGTCACATTGTAGTCATAGTAGACTGGTCAATCTGACCCTAAAAGGTTAAAAAAAACTCTTATGGTGGGAAGATTTATCATATCATATCTTTTAAATGTCATAGGGACGTGGGTTACAGGTGCAATATATTTGTAATTTCATGTATAAAATACATTATTGCACTTATTTATTTATTTGTATGTTTGTGCTATATAGAACTATATATAAGAAGCCCTCCATCATAGAGAATAAACATTTAATCAGGCAAAGAACCACTTAAGCATTCAAATGATTCTTTGGGTTGTCTTCACTAAAGAACCATTGAACTCCTTTTAAAAGTGTAGTATTTACTTATTAATGTTTATTTGATCATTTTTTGTCTCAGAACTATGGTAATTAATAGGTGCAGCACATTCTCTCTAAAGATGCCATTTGTAATCACATGCAATGCATGTAATCAGAATAATAATACAAAAATCAACGAAATCACACACACATATAACATCTTGTTTTCTTTTCTCTGCCAAAGCTTGAAACTGAATAAAAAGGAGTTTCCAAAAGATGTTGGAGGGGTAATTAACATAAGCAGACCTCACCATTGACAATGCAGTCCAAAGCATTCTTTTTTAAAGGCCATATCTGGCATGTATTCAATACCTTAGGTAACAAGAACTGTTGCCCAATGTTTTGTGTGTTTGGCAAACAATGATTGCAATTCAACTAAGTCGAGTGACAAGATCAATGAGCTGTGATACCAGAAAATGTGACGCAGTAAAATTTCTCAATCTTCTCACAGAAATCAATAACGCTGTGAATTTCCAGGCTGTGAATTGTGTAGCAGGCTGTTACCTACTTTGTTAAAATGCATTATAGACTACTGGTCTTTTCCACTGTGCACTGTCAACGAGTTCACGTGTCTAGTCCACCTTGATGAACGCTCAGTAGGTTACCCTCCCTCGCTCACACATACACCTTTTGGTTGAGGCTGATTTGCCTCGAGCTAAATTCCCCCCCTGAATCATCGCTCAGCTCCATGCAGGCTCCCACGTCACTGTGGCGGATTGCTAGGCTTTTCATCTAAACTGGATTTACCTCAAGTGAGACGGGACAATTTCTTTTAGGCACTGCAGAACTGTGAATAACACAGAAAGCGTATTTTAAGCTAGGGAATTCGGAGTAGTTTTATATTTAATTGAAAAGGATGCTTGATTAGTAGGCCTCACTGATTCTATGTGCTCATATTAGCATCCTAAGGCCTACAGCACAGTGCTGTTAGCTCAGGCTAAGACTAAACAAATGTCTTGTGCAATTAGCTTCCCATGGAGTTTGGACTATTCAAATATAGTGAGAAGAGCTATGAATCCTGCTCTAGGGACTATGTTAGTAGTAATAAGTTTAGAGAACACTTTGTGTGAAAGCACTGTTTAATCCGTTCCCTTGAAATCTGAATAATGAGGTCCCCTGCTCCTCTCCTCAGAGCTTAAATTGACAAATCCTTCGCCATGGCAAATGTATTGGAAATTTACAACACATACACACACACAGTTTGTACCCTTGGAACATCATGTTCACACCCTCAGCCGCTGCAGTATGGATCCAGTTCTGTCTTTGGGGAGAAACTACTGTGTCGCAATAAAACACAGTGATCTATAGAACAGCTCAGAGAAACGATCTCCCTGGAATATTGGAACAACTGGGCATTGAATGCTGTCTGTCTCGCCACCTTTAGCGCAAGTAACGTGTTCACACTGGGAAATGAAACAGAAAATAGTGTACTGTTAACACACAGACAGGGACACAGTAAGTGGAGGTGCCAGATTTCAGGGTTGTTTAACTGCAACTGCTACAGCAATTTTAAAAAAATAATTAAAGAACAGAACTTTAAAATATTTAGAGTACAGAATAACTATTAGAGCAAGACCTTCAGTTTGGCCCATAAATGTCAAAACACAGTTAAACACAAGGGAAAAAACATCTCTATGATGAAGCCAATTTTTGTTGTCCCTATGTGGTTCCAGTAGTATGTCAGCCCTAATCTAATACCAATTCACTTGAACATTTTTGGCAGTTCTAGATTAAAGACATTTGAAGCTTGCAAAGTGCATTTCATGTCTACCTTGTAGTAGTTTTATAGTGACTCCTTTAATAAAGAATCCTGGCATAGAACTGCTGCTGCCGCTGTTTTCCATTTCTAACATCTGAATCGTACTCGCAGTCAATGACGCATCTAGGATTTCCAGAAGGCTCAGAGTGATGTCTTTTCTCACTAAATTAGTCTCACACAATGAAAATCAAAACATTATTGGTTGATTCCTATGTCACTTTCTGAGTATGTTAGTGGTTAGTAGTATGTCAGACATGTTAGGCCTTCATTTCAGATCCTGAAGTCTTAACCAATGGGAGAGCTATATTGGCTGTATATCTACCTAGATACTACAGAGAAAATAAATCCTGCTTTAATCATTTTTTTACTATTTCGTTTCCAACCAAAACCTAACAATCAAATTAGAGTAATAATACAGTTATAGAGTTTAAATACAACAAGCACGATAATTTTTTGTTTGTTTTGTTTGTTGTTTCAAAGCTTTAAACCTTCCCTTAGGGTTCATCTCTAATTCTGAGCACAGTAAAGGCCTATGTGTGC